GCATCCATTTACCTAGAAATGTCTCAAGTTTATCCTTCTTTATGGCGAGTAGTACTCCATTGTATAAAATACATCTTTTATCCATTCCTCAGTCAGTGGGCATTCGGATTATTTCCACAATTTATCTATTACATATTGTGCTGTTATAAACATGGGTGCACATATATCGCTGTCTTATAGTGTTTTTTAATTCTTCCAGGAAGATACCCAGAAGGGGGATAACTTGGTTGAATGGGACCTGTAATCCTAGTTTTTTGAGGAATCTCTATACTGATTTCCACAGTGGTTGCACAAATCTATACCCCCACCAACAGTGAAAAAAGGAATTCTTTTTCTCCACAGCCCCACTAGCATTTGTTATTGATTAATTTCTTGATGATAGCCATTCTTTCTAGTGCAAGATGGAATCTCAGCGTTGTTCTAACTTACATCTCTGAAATGACCAGTGATGTTGAACATTTTTTCATGTATTTGTTTACCATTTGTGTCTTTTCCTCTGAGAAGTATGTATTCATCTCAGATGCCCATTTTTGGATTGGGTCTTTAAACTTGGGTGGTCTGATTTTTTTCAATTCTTTATATGTTCTAGATACAAGTCCTTTGTCTGAGAGACAATTGGCAGAAATTTTTTCCCACTCTGTGGGTTGTCTTTTCACTCTGTTGGTGATTTCCTTTGCTGTGCAAAAGCTTTTTCATAGGGTGAGATCCCAGTTGGTCTTTGTATTATTTCTCATGCAGTCGAGGTTTTGTTCAAGAAATCTTTGCCTACACCTATGTCTTCAAGAGTTCTGCCTATTTTCTCTTCCAGCAGATTTAATGTTTCTGTTTTAATATTTAGATCTTTGATCCATTTCAATTTTTGTTTAGTGCATGATGATAGACATTCTTATGCATATAGTTTTCACAAGATTTCTTGCCATCAACTGTATAATGTTTCATTTTTTTTTTTCTAATCACAAAATTAATGCACATTGAATTTGGAAAACAAAAAAGCACGGAGAAAAAAAGCAAGTCTCCATAAGCTCTTCCATCAAGGAGCCATATTTTATATGTACCCCAATCCCAACAGCCAACATAACATATTAAGCAGACTCCGTTGTCTGCCTAATAAGTGCTCCATACATAAGGAGCTCATTTGCCTATGCTACTCTTAGGACGTACGCTAAAACCAAAATTGTAACCACGGTTTAAAAAAAAGGAAGCCAACCCATTTATATTAGAAAATGACACTAAAGCTTTCTTCTTAAAAGCTTTAGCTTTTATTGCAGAGATTGACCTTTCTCACCAAGAAGTTCATTGCCCACCCAAATTGTGTATTGCATGCCTAGGAGTTAAATCAGATTACTGCTCTGCTTCTCACAATCTAAATTCCACATCTCTATTTGTATTTCAATGAAAACGATTCACAGTGCACCAAGTCATTAAGGCTCTAAGATCTTTGCAACTCTTAATGGTAGCCCAACAGGGGAAGCCATTGTAGAGTGAAAATAGTCCTAGGATTAGAGAAGAAAGCCTTGTTTGCAATGCCATTGCTGCTGTGTACACTACCTCCTGTGAAGTGGCATGAATGGATTTAGATATAAATCTAAGGCTTTGCAGACTAACAGCCCTCATCAAATATTATTTATAGGGGAGTATAGCTGAGATACTGCTTTCCTTAGCAATCAGACACAGCAGAAAACTTGATGGAAAATGAAAATTTTAACATATTTTTATACATACTAACTTTAACCTAATAGCCTTAAAACTGTATACCTAGTATTTGGAGTAGAAGAAATGTACAAAGAGAAAATTTCAATTTGACTTGACTCCCCAATTATGATCAGGTGCATATTTTTCCCTCCAGTTTTTAAAAATCTACTTTGAATGTAATGATTAACGTGATTTCCAATTTGTTCTTGCCTTTATCTGCCTGGCAGGCTAAATTTGGAAAAAGTTATGTAGTTCAGGAAATACTGTCCTTAGGTCTAGGTGTGTGGCCCAGTGGCAGCGTACTTGCCTTGCTTGTGCGGTGCCCTCAGTTCTACCCTTAGTAGTGAAGAAAAGGAAATATTTTTCACCTGTGACTATACACATACACACCTACAAAAGCACAAGTAGGCACTATTTTCTGCATTTATGACACATTAGTAAAGCCTTTGGATTGAAATTGAAAACTAAATTCAACTGGGTTGAAATGAAGTTTGATCTTAGATATTTTGGACAGTTGGGGAAACTTTTTTTCTAAGTAACTGCCTCTGAGACACAGCAAAGGACCAGTAAAGAGCTTGAATCACGTTTGTGAGTGGGAGGATGTGAACCATTGCTGAAAAGAGACTGGGGGAGAAGAGCTAGGGGCCTAGGAAGGTTAGGGGAGACCCCTACAAAGGCTGCCTGCCCAGGAGCCTCTGGAATGCTGGGACAGATAACCTTTGATCATCTTCCCATTATATTGTTGACTGTGTAAAGAAGGTGAAATAGTTAATGCTGACTTTAGGGAAAAACAAAAGTCTGTACTAATTCCCTGGGCCCAGATAGATTATATGCAAATATTTGGGAGAAATGAAGTTATATCACAAAGTATGAGGAAGGAAACTTAACCTCTTTATCATAACCATCTGGCTTTAATTAAGCTATCCATGACAGTTACCTAGACCTGCAGATGAAAAATCCAACACTGAGACATTTGAAAGTCTTAAAAGAGCTCTGATTAGTTGAAGACACAACCAGCAAGGTCCTCTTATGGCTACTAAATGTAATTTGGACTTAATTGTTTCCATGGGATTTATCTGAAGTCCACAAAGTGGTGGTCTTTCTTGATGAAAGAAAACAATATAATAATAAAAATCAAAGGGGAACAGTCCTCCTATGCCATTGCAATAAGTTGGAAAGCTAGAGGTTGAAAAGGTGAAAAAGTATTTATTGATATTAAGCTATGAAGGAATGTTGAACAAAGACAAGAGTTAAAGCAATTACTTCATTAGAAAGTAAGAAAGTAATTTAAAATTTAGTTTTCCCTCACCTTTGATTCACTAGAAAATTTTGTATGCATATGCAGACTTATGTTTCCCAGTAGTCTTGTAGCTACACATTCCATGTATTCTACTGAGCTTGAGAATAGGGATTGCTTTTAGATTTGGATCCTACCCCTTCTCTAATATATATTATATTGGTATGATATTTATACATGCATATGCATACGTATACACACATACACTGATGTGTGTGCCACTGATACCTTGTGCCTACAGCACATTAAAGTATATGAAATGTAACCAGGCTACTTATTAAGACCTAAAATGTATAATATGTTTTAGAAAATTTTCAAGTAGAGTCGAAAACAGAAAAGTCCTTACAGTGGTATAACTTCTATTTATACTATATATATATATATATATATATATATATATATATATATATATCTCCTTGGGTAGAACATACATTTATTTGAGGAAGGATTATTCAAATGTGCATCCCTATCTATGTTTGTGTGTATATTCCTCCTTGGGATGCCTGTCCTTTCTCCTCTAGGCCAGTCTGAACACTGGAATGTGATAAGCACCCAGACCTTAACTAGGAAGAAGCATTAGCCACCTTCTGTGAACTGTCTTCTGTCTTCCTAACCTTATGAAGATTTTCCTTACTCCCTGCAGTTCACAAGGACCTCTCTTTTCTCTAAACTTTTGTAGCACTTAAAGTTTGTACAAGTTTTTGAAAGCTTATATAAATGGTCTTAATATATATTTTCTCTATTTATATGTATTTTGCCTCTGTGACTACTTTATGTTCCATTTGAGAGTTAGATGTTAGCTTTTTTAATTTTTTTTAAAGATAAAAGAAAAAACATATTAACAAACACACAGACATTTACAAAATAACACAAAAGCAATAGAAGCAATACAGAATTTCAGACAAGGTGATAGGAAATTAACAATGGTGGTTGCATTACATATTGATATCTTCAAATTGGTTACTCACATAAACAAATATAGGCATGTAAGATTGATCAAACAATTAAACATTAACTGTTCCTTTCAATAAAGCAATAGAAATAAGTAGTACAACTATCTTAGCTATCCTGTGTATACATATATACATATTTTTCCTCTCTTTCTTTCTTTTGTCTTTTCCCTCATCCCAGTTGTTTTTTTCCTTTTGAGCAGTTTCTTTCTCTTTCATGGTAGTTATTATACCTTTTAGAGTTTAGCTTTTATTTTCTTCGTATCATTATTTCACATAGCTCAATGCCTTGTAAATAAAAGTGTAATACTTATGAGTGTTACATTTAATATGTGCAGTAATTGTTTAATTATATTTCCCTGGTATATTTCTTTGGCTTTTAAAAAATACTAGATTAATTATTTACTTTCATCTTAATGGGCAGTAGGAATTAAATTCTTTTTAAATCTTGTTTATTTGACATTTTAAAGAAAAGATATTTGATAGTGTTTTAAACAAGTACTTTTTGAAAATACCACTGTATTTGACTTCATCTGAAAGCATTGTCCCGTATTCAAACGTAGCAGAAAAAGTTTTGGAATAATCACAGTCTTTTTTTTCCTCTTAAAGTTCAAGACAGAATATATTTTGTCTTTCATACAAGTAGAATAAATTAAAACTTAGTTTTAAAAAGTATAGTACTAGGCTGGGGATTTAGCTCAGGGGCACGGCAAGCGTGAGTTTGTAAGTTTGATTGCCGGTACCGGAAAAAAAAAAAAAAAAAGAATGAAAAGTTCCATAGCTCCTGCCTGGCAAGCATGAGGTCGTGAGTTTGATTCCTGGTACCGGGAAAAAAAATAGAAACTCTCACAAAAAGTATAGTACTTTTTCTATAGCTTCTCCAATTAAGGTTCAGTTTCATTTAAAACCACTGATATTTGTACACCTTGAAGCCGCGTTTGTCAGTCAGTGACAAGATCTTCTGAATAGCTTATGTGTCTGAAGCACTTTAAACATGTGAATGCCAGATACTCTTATCAAGTGTCATCCTCAAATTTTTTTGATGCTTCCTTTTTACATAGTGTCCAGCGTTGGCTGTGGATAGGTTTGAATAAAAGGAGCCCATATTTACAAGGATCCTGGCAGTGGAGTGATCGTACACCAGTAAGTTAAAATGTTCTTGTGGAATGTAAAATGGAAGGAATGTTTGTTTCTGTAGCAAATAAATGATTGCTAAGTAATAATACATCCACACCTAAAATTCAAATGGAACCACAAAGGACCCTGAATAGCCAAAGTAAGTCTTGAGCAAAATGGACAAAATTGAGGGAACTGGACTAGTGGATTTCAAAACATATATTACAAATCTATAATAGCCAGAGCATCATGGTACTACCATGAAAACAGACACTGATAGACAAAAAATAGGAATGGATAAAAAGCTGTAGTGCTTTATATAATGGAATATTACTCAACTGTAAAGAAAGATAAACTCGAGCCTTTTATAGGTAAATGGTTGCCACTATAGACCATACTCATAAGTGAAATAAATAAGTCTCACATGTACAAACATCATATTGTCTCCCTAGTATAAGAACCTGAAAGAGTAAAAGAAATCTAAAAGGTACAATAGATAGTGAGAAAGGGAAAGAAAATGTCGAAAAGAAAGAATGACTGGGATGAGAGAAAGGAGAAGAAAAGAAAGGGAAAAATTGTGTGTGTGTGGCCGGGATAATTGTACTATTAATTTTTATTGCTTTCTTGAAAGGAACAGTTGATATTTAAATGTTTGATCATTCTTGCATGTCTGTATTTGTGAATCTGAGTAACCAATATGAAGATAACAGCATATAATACAACAACCATTGTTAATTTTTTTCACCTTGTCTGAAATTCTGTATTGTTTATATTGTGTTTATGTCTGTGTGTTTGTTAATATGTTTTGGTTCTTTTAGCTCTAAAAATAAAATTTTTAAAAAAAAGAAAAAATAGACAGCCCAGAAATAAACCCATGCATTTATAGCCAAATAATTTTTGACAGAAGTGCCAAGAACATACAATGTGGAAAGGACAATCCCTTCAATAAATGATGCTGGGAGAACCGGACACTCACACGCAGAAGAATGAAATTACATCCTCATATCACACCATATATAAAAATCAACTCAAAATGAATTAAACACTGAAATGTAAGAGCCAAATGATACTACTAGAAAAAAAGATAGGGGAAAATCTCCACAAAATTGGTCTGAGCAATGATTTATTGGATATGATCCCAAAAACATAGGCAACAAAAATAAAAATTTCAAAATAAGATTACATCAAACTAAAAAGCTTCTGCACATTAAATAAAAGTCAACAGAGAAACAACCTAGAAAATGGGAGACAATACGTGCAAAGTATTCATCTAATGAGTTAGTATCAAGATGTGTAAGGAGCTAGTTCAGTAGCAGGAGAACTACTGGGCAAAGGATTTGAATAGACACTTCTTGAAAGAAGACTTTCAGATAGCCGACAGATATGTGAAAAAATGCTCAATACACTAACCGGGGGAATGCAGATTAACACTACAACAAGATATCACCTCCCATCTGCTGGAAGAGCTATTATCAAAAAGACAAAAAATGTAAGCATTGACAAGGATGTAGAGAAACCGTTGTAAGAATAATTTAATACAGCATTATGGAAAGCAGTATGGAGATTCTACAGCATATTAAAAATAGAACTATATGATTTAGCAATACCACTACTGGGTGTATATCCAAAGCAAGTGAAATCAGTATTTCGAAAAGATATCTGCATTCCCACATTTATGGAAGTATTAATTCACAATAGCCAAGATATGGAACCAAACTACAGTGGATGACTAGATAAAGAATTATGGTACACATACATAATGAAATACCGTTTAGTCACAAAAAGAAGGAAATTCTGCCATTTGTGGCAATAGATGGATGAACCAGAGGCAAAAGTGTTCACTGAAATAAAGCAGGCACAGAAAGTAAGTGCCTCATGCTATCACATGTATAATATAAAAAATGGATCTCATAGAACTAGAAAGAACTAGAAGGTAACATGATGGTCACCAGAGATCGGGGCAGATAGGAGTTGGGGAGATGTTTGCCAAAGGATACACAATATTAGTTAGATAACAGGAATAAGTTCAACATGTCTATTTACTGTAGAACAGTGGTTAATACATTGTATGACATATTTAATGATATTTAATGTTCTCATTAAAATGATAACTATGTGTACATTTCAATTAGCTAGGTTTAGAATTTAGTCATTCTACAATATGTATACTTCAAAACATTATGTTATGTATAATAAAAATGTACAACTTTACCTGTCCATTTTATTTTTTTATTTTAAAGAGAAAGAAAACAAAATAACTAATCAAGACAAAAACAAAACAACGCAAAAACAATAAAAATGATACAGAATTTCAAAACAAGGTGATAGGAAGTTAACACTGGTTGTTATATTACATATTGTTATCTCCAATGAAGTTGCTCAGATTTCTAGATGTAGGAATGCAAGATTGATCAAACAATTAAAGAGAATAAAAAATAACATTAGAAACAATACATAATTTCACTAATCGAGGTAGTAGGGATTCAACAATGGTTGTTATATTGAATATTGTTGTCTTCAAATTAGTTGTTCACATTACCAGATATAATCATGCAAAATTGGTCAGAAAAAGAAAAATTTAAGCATTAACTATTCCTTTCAGTAAACCAATAGACATCACAGAAAGTACATCCACATACCTTCAACCATAAAATGATGTAGGTACATCTCATTTGAAGTGGAAATAAATTCACATATGTGAAGCAGGGAAAACTCAAGGTACTGATCTTACTTTTATAAAAAAAGAATCATAGTTTCTCTATATATATAGCCGAAAAAGATAAATATTATATAAATAATTTATAATTTATATCAATTTATATTTACATTGTATAAATATAATGCTTAAAATATTTATGTTTTATTATGATTATTTTATATAAATAGATGAGTGAGTTTGTGATCTTTAGGTAGTACAAGGGTTTTTTTCCCCAAGGCTTTTTTTTATACTCCTTTATATTAATTTTTCAATAATAGGAAGCTTTTCACTATCTAGAAATACAAGTTATGTATACAAAGTATTTTGCAGAGGAAATACTTTCCCTTTCTTGGAAGAAATAATTTGTTTGAGGGAACCTAAAATAATCATATACATTATTTTAATGTTTACATTATCCTAAAGAGGTTTTACATAAGACTGATAAGAGGAAGATATTCAAATGTTTAATATTTGCTCATGTTATCATTGTGACTTTCTAACTGTAAGACTCTTGGCTTTTATTTTTAGATGAGAGTATATTTTAGATTAGTTGATCAAATATTTTGCATGTGTGCATTTCAGTGCATGCAAAAAAAAAAGTCCTTTTGCAAGCTCTTGATTTTCTGATTCCAGTGGTAAACAATACATTAACCTCCATTTCTAAAACTGTGCCTTCCTTTGTTTGGCGACTTTAAAATTGTAACATTTTCTAAGTCTCACGATTTAGTCTCCTTATGTACAAAAAAAAAAGATAAAGTTTTCTTTCTGTGGCATATGAACATTCTTGAATTATTAAAGCTGCCTAAATTACATCTAAATTGCAAATATTTATACGACAGTGTTAAATTCTCAAGGCCTTCTTGTCTTTTCAGGTGTCTACTGTTATCATGGAAAATGAATTTCAGGAGGATTATGACATCAGAGACTGTGCTGCTGTCAAGGTGAGTACAATGCTAGAAAATCTGCACTCAAAAAAAATAAATCTGAGGGCTGAAATTGTAGCTCAGTGCCTACTGTGTGCAAATACGCTTGAGGCCCTGGATTCCATCTCCAGCACCAAAAAGGGAAGGAGAAAGGGAGGGTATGTATAGAGAGAGAAAGAGACGGCGGGGGGGGGGGACATAATGTTTCATCAGGCAGCAGATGGGAAATGAGTATATCCTCACGGAGCCTATCTTACACCCAATTTGAGAAAATAAAGCTCATATTCAGTAGAGGTAGTTTTATCATTACTGTACAGTCATAAGCTTCAAATGAGTGGGCTGAGGAAGACTGATGAAACTCAGAAGGGGAAGTGAGCTCTGTAACCTCTTCTCAGATAACAGCCTTGAGTACTAAGAATAACGCCAGGTTAAGGTTTTTGGACATTCTTTGATAGGCAACAGAATACTCTTAAAAATTTCTGAGGGGGAGTAACATGAACCAAGGAGAAGATGAAGAAGATTTATCTTGAGACAGATTTCAGAATGCGACAGGAGGACTGAGAGCTACAAATGACCCATTAGGCAACTTCCTCTGCAGAATTCATTGGCTTATTCATTTCATAAGTGATATGCAGGGGATCTGGGAGGCACTGGAGGATATAATAGGAACAAGGCACAAAACATAGTCATCGTCTTCACAGAACTTTCCATCCAATAGGAGATAAAGACAGTTAAACAAGCAGTGGTGATACCATTGAGTAAGGGTTAGGCCAGGCAAAATGAAATTCTATGCAAGAACAAGTTTATTATGAGATAGTGATGGTGATGATGGTGATGAAGGTGATGATGGTAGTGAGCAGTTATAGACCACTTTCATGAGCCAGGCACCATGCTAGGTATGTTGTATACTTGTTTTATTTAATATTTACACAACCTCGTGGAGTAGGTACTGTTATCACACTCGTATAAAGAAAAAAATTCAAACTTTGAATAACGTCCACAAGGACACATGGTGACAGAACTGAAATTTAACCTCTATATCTGGGTCCAGTACTCTTTTTTAAAAATTCATTGTATGTCCATATTTATTTTGCCATCATTTATTATTAATTTTACTTCTCTGTTGTGCATTAGCATTATGCAATTATCTTTCAGCTTCCAATGCAAATTGATAAAATTCAATTCTAAACCCAAAGTCTCTTAGACAAAGAAAGTAGATTCTGAAGAACTGTAAAATAGATCTATTTCTTTTGGAACTTCTGAGTCTTATTTATTTTGACGTCCCTCTTCTAAGACTACCTTAGTCATCCATTAGATATTCTGAAAATAGCTGGCTGATGTTTCAAGAAATGCGTAAAATTTCAGTGTTACTTTGATCTGCAGGCAAAGAATCATGACATCCTGGTACACAGGGGTGATAATCTGCTTTATGTAACTCTGATGAATGGATCAAAGCACTATTTCGTTCTGGGGTGCCTCCTCCTGTGGTGGCAGGAAAAGGTAGACAGATGGTACTCTTAAACCACTGTGCTATTTGACTCAGCATTTATAGAAACACATAGAATGAGGTCCTGGTTTATGGAAAATATGGTATATTTTAATTTAGATAGTTTAAATCTAACCTAGACATAAGATATATCCTACTTTAAGTTGAAAGCAGAGACAAGTAAAGGAAAAAAATTAATGTTAAAAAATGCAAGAGGCCACGAATTAGATTTGAAAAGACTGTCACTACGTAGGATAAATGATGATGAAAAAGCAGACATCTAGATCATACTTTTACTTTGTAGCCAAAAAAAGTTATGAAATGTTATAGGAAGATCAAGGCCATTACAAATTGAGAAAGCCACTGAAAAGCACTGTTCTCAAAGTAACTCTTCGTGTAATGAACTGTTATACTTTCATGCCACTTTTGTAGAATTCACAGTGTAACTTAGAAAAGGTGACAGCTTCAGAAAGGCTTATGAAGGTTTTAGGAATGTCAAGAACACTAGTGCAGTGAACTGCGTTCTGTATAAATAGAGTCACCATGAATGGAGAGATTTGAAAAAGTATTGGCAAGTAAATAAAAGAGACAGCAATGAAACCTGCATCAGTGACAATTCCAATGAGGGCACTGTTCTGTAAGGAGACCCATCGCTGAAACACTCACTAGAATTTTAGCCATAAGAGTCCAAGAAGTGATAGATACTTCTCCCAAACCAGGCGTTTACCCCTTACTGTGTCTTCTGCCTGATGACTGGAGTTCCCACTGAGCCCTCTGAACCCTAGGGAGATAGGCAACATCCTAGAAAGGGCGGCATAATACAGAAGAAAGAGGGTGTGTACGTGAGCCTGCACTTTTCTGTCACTTTCTGATCGGCTCTGATCACAGCCTAGTCTGAGATACCACTGAGATATTCTTTTGTAGTTTGATCCTACCCAGATTTTAAAAGCACAGCATTCCACATTTCATGTCAACAGAATCAGAAGAAAAGACAGTGATTAACATTTTAGACATAAACATACCCTGTATCAGTGCCCTTGGAAGGCTCTTGCCCTGGCTGTTTAAACCTTCCATTCATTTATGTGTGCAAGTATTCTACAAATATCTTAGGTGCTAGAGCTAAAGTAGAGACCAGGACCAAAGGACTTACAGTTTAGTGTTTCATAAGAGATATAGCAACTTCAAAATATTTTTCAGTCCTTTGCTTCCTCCTTCTTTAGGTTATGCACAGCTACTGGAGAAGAGGCTTGCATTTTCATGACGACAGAGAATTTATTTATTTGAGGCCTTTTGCTTGTGATACAAAACTTGAATGGGTGTGCCAGATTCCAAAAGGTAAGTGGTAGCTTTTCTTTTGTACAACCTTTCCACATTAACACTGTGAATGCTGAGCTACATGTACCTAAGAGAGCATTTTACTTTATAATAGTAATTTTTACAAGCCTATGAAATACTATTAACATATTAAACTCCCTTCTGTGTGATTCCCACTCTTAAAAGTCTAGCTTATTGAAATTTAGTGATACCATACTCTTTAATCATGACAAAGTTTGTATAGAAGATAAAATTTAATGTTCATTTAGATTTTAGAATGCAGGATTAATAAAAAGAATCATATAATCAAGATGATCATTTTAATTTATTTTGATGCAAATAAAATACAAAATGAAGGTAATCTTGGGAAGACCGAGGTTAAAATAAAGAAATTAATATTAGGTAAGTCCTTGTAAAATTTAGAAGCAATTTTTAATTAACTCCAAAACTGTTCATACTTCATGTAAATTCAAATTCAGGAAACAGTTACCTCATACGTGCATGTACTCATGCTTGTGTATGTGCAGTGGGGTTTTCGCAGAGGGAAATTATGGCTTGTTATTTCTTGCTGTCTGATTAAACCTGAAAAAGGAACAGAGACAAAGCAGTTTGGAAAAGTTTGTGCACATGATTAATTTGGATGATGTCTCTGGTTTGAAGCATTAGTGTGAGCCTCCCATTAGGCTGCCATTTACCCCCATGCCAGAGAAAGCATCATCGCTCCCTCCACTGATTTCATTAGTACCTGCTACCCCTTTATTTAAAGATATTTAAAGGTTAGACATAGTTTCCTCAACACACAGAAGACCAGAAGTCTTTGAGAAGATTACAGACAAGAAACTGCATAGTTTTAACTGGCTTGTAGCACTATTAGTGGAAATTCCCCTACACAAAGAGAATTGGATAAGTGAGGAAAAAACTGAAGATTCTGAATATATAAGCAATCCTGAGGACAGTCTTCTGATGCCTTTGGCCTTGGTGCCAAAGCAAAATTAATAATAGATATGCTCCTTTGTAATTTTTTAGATTAAGCAAGTTATGTTTTGGACTTGAAATCACTTTGACTTTTGGCCAGTATAAAAGGCAAGAGGGAAGAAACTAGAAGCCTGTGTCAGCAGTCCTGTGCTTGGTACTGTCTAGATGCTTCCTTAGAAGTAGCTGTGTGACCTTCACACTCTGTGAAGAGTCCTATTTTGACAAAGTAGGAAATTGAGGCTCAGGGAGTTGAGCAGTTCTTCCAAAGTACCACAGCAGCAAGGAATATGAGGACATTTGGACAAGGACCATCCAACTTCTAAACCCATAATTTTATGTAGCATACCACATTTCTTGCATCCACTTAAGAAATGTGAGTGACTTTTATTATTTTTCTCCCAGTTTTATTTCACCTTCTCAAAAGTTTCAATACTTCTGGCTCATTGTACATTTTTTTCCAATAGTATTTGTGGAGTCAATAAACTGTACCACCGCAGATATACAGAACAAAAATTCCATTGGGTGAAAAAGTGGTTCCTGAACAATCCCATTCTACAATAATGATTATCTTGCTGCATATCCCTTAGTGCTTCTATGTAGTTTATGCAGTAATCACTACTGACTTACTTTTATTTTCTAATTATTAACTAATCTTCATCAATCTAGTCCTCCTTTGGGACTTCCATAATAAAAAGTAAATGCCAATAATATTTTATTAATATTTAGCAGGTTTGCCTTTTTGATTGCCACTGGAGCATTAACATAAATCCTATAAAATTCAGCTCAGGTGGTAATAACTTGAAATGGTGTAATCAGAAATTGATAAATCTGCAAAGTACTGAGAGTCCTTTTAGCTACATTAAAGGCCCTGCTTATAGTATACCATGATCTGTAATTGGAAACCAAACTTGAGCAACTTACTTTCTTCCTTCTATAGGCAGCACTCCAAAAACACCGGACTGGTACAATCCAGGTGAGTTACGAAAACTGAAATCTAGCCAAAGCTGCTTTTATCTTTTTGGATAATATATGTAGTTAATTACTTAAGTGCCAGTTTCTTCTCTATCACATCATCAAATGAAATAAAATATCTCCAGGCAAGGAAGGTGTCTGGATGGTGTGGGATGAGAAAAGTAAGCTGCATTTTCCTTCTGTATGAGAACAAGACACTGGCAGAGGTACTGACTCAGGAATCCTCAGTTCCTTGTAATCACACTGCACCAGCCAGAGAGAGCTACCAGGAGTAATCTAGATGGGTTACTTTATTAGTCAGCTTTCCATTACTGTAACAAAGTACCTGAGATAATCAAATATAAAGAGGAAAGGTAACTGAGTGTAGTGGCATATGCTTGTAAACCCAGCAATCAGAATGCTGCAGCAGAAGGATCATGACTTTGAGGCTTACCTGGGTAACGTAGTAAGATTTTGTCTCAAGAAAAGTTATTTTGGTTTACAGTTTTGGAGGTTTCAGGCCATAGTCTGTTGTCTGTCCTGACTTGGGGCCAACACACTAGCAGGGATGGTACAAACTGTTTACCTCATGACAACTGAGAAGCAAAAGAGAGAAAAAGGAAGAACCAGGTCCCAATACCTCTTTTAAGGACACTTCTTTATAAAACCAGAAAACTTCCGACTATACCCCACCTTTTAAAGGTTTTGCCATCTCCCAGGAGTACCTTTAACACATAGGGTAAGAAAGGATACTTATCCAAATGCTAGCAGTCACTCTGTAAATGACATTACATTACCCCGTGCTTCAAGGGTACAGTTTGGTTGGCATAATCATAACTCTGATCTTCTTTCTTTTCTTTAGAGCGTGCTGGTATTCGTGGGCCTACAGTTATAATTGAAGGAAGTGAATATTGGTTTGTTGCTGATCCTCACTTAAATTACGAAGAAGCTGTCCTGTACTGTGCTAGCAATCACAGCTTTCTTGCTACTGTGACATCTTTTACAGGACTAAAAGCCATCAAAAACAAAATAGCAAATGTAATTTAAGAGAATGCACTTTAAAATATTTTTTAATTTTTATATTTATCTCATTAAAAATATTTTCAAAATATACAAAAGCATATTTGTCTCACAACATCTAAATTCATTTTTCCATGTTAGAGAAGTAAAATAGAATTGCTTAATGTTTTACAGTATACAAGATTAATAATAAATGTCAATTTGTGAGATAAGCATAAGTAGCTAACATATATAATCCTAATTCTGTATCATGTTCTTTACTAAAAGTCAACTTCATAGTTAAATTTCTGTTCCTACTAATATGAAAGTTTATAAAACAGCTTTTGGGAAGACAAATAATTTGATATTTTAAAATATTTAAATTATAATTAATTGCAAAGGACACTGTATACCCAATTCATCTATCTGATTAATATATGCTTATAATTACAACAACCATCTTTTCTCTACCAAAAATAAGGCCTGTGAATATACAAAATGGGGTCCATCAAATCACTTTTTTGGTGAAAGGTCCTGGTTTATGTAATTTTGAGAGCAAATTATGGAATGTCTGGAAATTTTAGTGATTTGTGGTTATAATGCAGAATATTTAAATAAAAACTCTTCTAGGAAATTCAGCACATTTAAGGATGAGTGTTTGGTTTGTTTTTCAGATATCTGATGTGGAACAGAAGTGGTGGGTGAGAACTAGTGATCAGCCAATAGATCATCATTTTATATAGTACGTAACATCACAGATTCTGCCTTTGAAAAACTTACCACAACAGGGAACCTCAGATTCCTCTTGATTTTTTATAAACAGTTTTGAACATTAATCTACGAAGTCTCTCTGCATGTTAGGGAAAAGTGGTATAGAATAATGGCATTAACATTAAATTTAGAATTAAGATAACAGTGAAAAGCAGAATGGAACATCTAATTACCTTAAGAGCTGTCACATCTCTCTCCTTTACTTTCAGCTCACGACATCCATGGCATCGCTCTCCTGTGACATTTGGGGAGAAATGCTTGCACATGTCTGCCAAGACTTGGCTTATTGGTAAGATTAAGTCTGAACTTTTTAAACATTGATTATGTAATATGTGAACCTGAGATTCCATTATTAGCTTAATCTTGTTTTCCTCTTGATTATATGTTTGGTAGCTTCACCTTACTCTTGATTTATTGTCAAAGACAATAGCTCAAATTCCAAATGCAAATAGAGGCACTGCTGGTGTATTTTAACTTGCTTTATCCTAAAGCAGCTACTTAGCAATAAACGTATCACTTTCATAATTGATAAGCAGATAAACAGTTTACAAAGGTGAGTGAACAGTAGTTCTAGAATACAGGTTATGTTCCTTTACCCCTCATTAGACTGCTCTTTCAATTCTCTACCTATTTCCTGCCACCACCCTTTGAGTTGTTGTTCCAGGTTTTTGTCTTTTGTTGTGTTGTGCTGGGGATGGAACCCAGGGCCTTTCTCCCTTAGCTCATCCTCAGCTTTTTCATTTATTTTTTATTTTATTTTAAGACTGGTTCTTGTTAAGTTGCTAAATTGCCCAGGCTGGGCTCTAATTTGTGATTCTCCTGCTTTAGCCTCTCGGAGTGCTGAGATTACAGGTATGAACCAACATACCAGCTTTCCATCACTCTTTGGAGGGTGTGGTAATTATAGCAAATGTGTGCTTTTTTTATGAGGTAATATTTGTGTGCTATAACCTATGGATATGATTAATAACAGAAGGTAGACTTGACTAAAGAAGAAAGGGAATATATTTTAACCTTTTGGGAAAGACTGATTTATAGAGCCTTTCTCTGGGAATGTAACTCAGAGCAGGTGTTTGGCATGTCTAGGCCCTGGGTTCAGTCTCCAGCAACAACAACAAAAAAAATCAAAAAGAGCCTTCTCTACTAATAGTTGCTTTTAAAACGAATGAAAATTCTTACCACTGCAACCCTGTTTCTCATTCTCAGACTTAAGCAAACCAACAGACTGTAGAACCAAGTTGCCCTTCATCTGTGAAAAATACAATGTATCTTCATTAGAGAAATATAGTCCAAGTTCTGCAGCTAAAGTACGATGTTCTGAGCCTTGGATTCCTTTTCAGAATAAGGTAAAAAGAGAATTGTTGCATTGTGCTCTGAGCCTATGAAGAACAGCTCGTTAGATAACTTCATTAAGCTTGCCTCTGCCTCTAACAGTGTCCCACCAGATCCTGTTTTCAGAAACCACAGTATAGCAAGAGTTAATTCTCAAGTTAGTCATGGCTGCAGGCCCTTCAAAGTACAGCATTTGCATTCTGTGGCTCCCAACTTCAACTGCTGAAGACCATCAGTCACTGGGTAGAAATACAATAAATAGTCAGACTAGCTCCGTGGCATTCAGCAAACTGTAATTTCCAGCTGCTGCTTCCTTTTCCCCCTCTAGGCCAGTATCCAAGCAGCATCTGCTAATCAAATTAGATCAGCATTTCCCAAACTACTCTTCAGAGACTACAAATGTTCTACAAAATATTAATCATTGATTTTGCCTCCAAATGAGAATTTTATGATTACATAGGTTTGAGAAGTACTACATTCTGTATCTGCCTCTTTGAGATGTATAATCTATACGTATATATTTATCTCTAAGGAAATATATTTGCCTGCTAAAAAGAAATTGCCATAGTATGCTCAAACATTTATTCTTTCACATAAAATAAATTTAAAGGTTGAGTTGGTGAGAAAACTTCATGAAGTTTCCAAAATTAGGTTCTTTTGTTTTTCTGCCCTTTCATCCTTAATAAAAGGCTTCCACATTGTTCTCTCTCAGGAAGTTTTTAGAAGACACCCAATGATTTTGCTTGTATCTTATTGGCCAGTCTAGTCTGTAAGAAAGCTGGAAAAAAATTTTGTGGAATGTTTCAAGGAACACAATTTGAGGCACACTTCAGTACATTTATGTGATCATGGTGTAAAAAGAAAAAGGAAAGAATGTATTTGACAGCTGAAAACATTTGGAGTAAATTAGGGGTGCATTTTGATTTTTAAAAATTAGGATAATCTCTTTAATTCACAGGGTACTAAGATCAGGTTAATTTGCGTAGTTAATACAAAGTTGAATTAAAACATCCTGCCAAGAAAAAGAACGATGCTTTCTTTTAAGATGTTCTTTTTGACATAGGTGTTACAGGAGCGATATCAGAACCTCAAAATATGATATAAGGAAAATATTATAACTCCCAACCTGTTAGATGTCTGATGGCCCGAGTTCATGTTTTCTAAAAACCAAAGAATGAATTCTAGGAACAATGGAGGTTAAGAATAGGAAGATACTTATTGAGAGGATAAAAAGCTCCTGTCAGAGGAACAGGAGGGCCCCAAATGGGTTGCCCAGGACCCCACTCTATAGGGAAATTTTATAGAGCAATAGCTACATGTGTACAATGTGGGTTATAGCTATGATTAACTAGTGACTATACAAGTATAGTCACTTAAGTAATAGTGATCCAATGGGGAAACAAGTCACAATGGTGCATGGAAAGAACAAAGACTTGTTCTAGGAAATGATGGGTCCACAGGTCTTGGTCACCCACGAGAGTGACTTCTGTCTATTTAGGCTTTATTAGGCCTGATGTTAGTCCTCTGAGGAAGTATACAAGCCTGGTCGTTTTGGCCTTATCATAAGGCCTGATCTCTAGCAGATGTGTCTCTGGCCACAGTTAGGATGTGTTTCACCTTTGTCCTGGCTCTCTCGAGGGTCTGTCTGACTGCCTACAGTATTTCTGCCTTGCTTAACTCTCTTTAATATAGGGAGGTGATGATTGAAAGCATATACATACTTTAATATCAGATGGAAGAATCTAATTGCTGACCTTACCACTTACGGTTCAAGTTACTTAACTTCCCTGTGCCTCAGTTTTCCTATTTGTTGTGGGAATTAAACTAGATAATTCTATAAAAACTGCTTAGCACATATGAAGTACTCAGTGAATGGGAGATATTTTTAAAATATGTAATGGTCTGAGTTTGATTCCCGGTACCAAAAAAAAAATATATGTAATGGTGTGAAGACCACTCTTCAGTTGTTTATTTTGTTTTGTTTTGGTTTTGGTTTTTCTCCGGTACCGGGAACCAAACTCACGACCTTGCGCTTGCCAGGCAGGCGCTTTTGCCGCTGAGCTAAATCCCCAGCCCTTCAGTTGTTTATATTGAGAGGGTAAACCTGAATTCTTACTGTACTACTTTGTAAATTTCCATATCTTACACATCAAATATTAGCAGTATTCAAAAAGGTAAGGCATTTATTTCCTGTATGAGCTTTCTTGTGTCTGGAACTTTATGCTGCCTTTGTGTCTTTGCTTGCAGTGCTTTCTGAAGATCACGTCTAAGTCTCTTACATTCTCTCAAGCAAATGACCTCTGTCACTCCTATGGTGGGACCCTGCCTTCGGTGCTGAGCCAGAGTGAACAAGGTACCAAACCGTTTGAGAAGCATGTCTTATTCTACCTGGCAACCAAGTTAGCTTTGCAAGGTTATAGAGAACTTACATATAAATATAATCTTATTAAACTATGCTTTTACAAACCAAATAAAAAGCTATCTTGATAGATGAGCAAAAGGAGGGTAGGGGTATGGCTCAGACCACTTGCTTAGCATATATAAAGCCCTAGGCTCAATATTCAGGGTGGAAACATAAGATATTCATTGACATTTTAAGCACTTCTTTCAGGGGCTGGGGATTTAGCTCAGCGGCACAGCACCTGCCTGGCAAGCATGAGGTTGTGAGTTCGATTCCTGGTACCAGAAAAAAAAAACAAAAAACAAAAAAATTAAGTACTTCTTTCATTTCAATAAGTCAAATGCTGCTTAAAAAATCTTTGTAACAGATTTTATTACATCCTTGCTCCCGAATATGGACGCTGATTTATGGATTGGTCTACGGTGGACTGCCTATGAAAAGACTGTCAAGTGGGTGGATAACAGAGAGCTGACATACAGGAACTTTCACCCATTGCTGGTTGGTTGGAGGCTGAGGATGCCAGAAAGTGTAAGTTTTTAATCAAAAATCTATATAGCTCCATGAAATACCCAAGTCTACCATAGATTACTGGATTAGAACAAGGGCTTATTGTCTAATTTTGTTTATATTATATATCCAGAATAGGCAAATTTATACAGGGAGAAAGTAGATTTGTGGTTTCTAGAGGTTATGGAGAGTGGAAAGCTTCGGGATAATAGTTGTGGGATATGAGGCTTCTTCTTAGAGTGGTGAAAATGTTCCAAAATTGATTGGGGTAATGATCATACAACAATAGTACACACCACATACTATTAAGTATATACTGCAGCACTTACTTCCCAAGCATGTAAAACGGTCAAGTAGTACATTATGAATAGAAACAAGTACAGACATTTTATTTAATATTTGGTGGATGTAGGTGGTCAAACCTGTCCCATAAGGCAAAAAGGCAAAACTGGTGATTTGTCATGAGGAAACCATAGACATAATTTCTAGCTAATATTTTCTTCAGTGGGAAACTGGGGAAGGAAAGACAACATTATACTGACAGTAATTATGCTGACACCATGATACTGTTCCCTACTGCTCTGTCTGTACTACTTTATGAAAGCAGACCACCTTCTGCACCAAGGACAAAGATTGAAGAATTAACATAAAACTCAAATTTCAAAAGTATGTCCTAGATAATAATCAATTGAAGTTACTAACACAATGTTACTTCATTTAAGTTTGATGTGAGTGGCAAAGGTAATGCTAAATTTTATGTAACAGTGTACAAAGTAAATATCAAAAGAAGACTTGATGATGATAGAAAATGTGGAACTTTTAGGGAGAGTAAACACCCACACATACAAATTATAATGTCAACCTTGATTCCATTTAACCTTAGGAGAGTAGCTTTTAAACTTTCAGCCATAACTTGTATTAAGAGATATATTTAAATTACCATCCAGTGCATAGCCTTAGATATAATATTGCAATAACAGTTTCAGGAAATGCTATCTACCCTGAGAGATTATACATCCTCATATTTTCATTTTATTCTATTGCATTTCATTCCATGCTCCTGTCCTAGCCTAGCCTAGCCTAGCTTAGCCTATCCTCTCCTGTCATATCCTACCCTATTTCATTATCATAAAGGCCAGCCAAAATAGACTAAACTGATTTCATAACCTACTAAATAAGTGTCAGACCATACTTGATCCCTGATCTAGGGAATCACAATGAATATTTCAGCATTTTTCTTCTGTATAAGAATGTTTCCTTGACATAGATGATATCACAGCATAAATACTAATACACTCTACTTTTCTATATATTATAAATATATATGCTATTAAAAGATCTACTTGATAAAAATTTTTATGTTAGCACTTTGTTTCTTGATAAGACATCATTTACCTAACCATGCCGCATATTTAGTTTTTATACCTTTGTGTAATCGTAAGTAATGCAACAGCAAACATCTTTGTGTATAATTATTGCTTATGTGAGGTTACCTCCTTAAGATACATTTTGAAAAAGTTCCACTTACCAAATTGCTTTCCGGAAGAGTCCATGAGTTTATATTTCTGTCAGAAGTATTCTGATTGCCCTTCTATGCTCACAGGCATATTAGTAACTTTTAATGTGTGACAGTATGTGCCAGACACTCTGATAATGTATCACCTATGTGGATTCTTTTAGTGTTCACAGAAACTATGAAACACCCATAGTATTCCCAACCCCAGTTTAGAAATGCAGAGACAGACATGGAGAGTCTAATAACTTGCCAGAGGTAATATAGCCTATGCATTTAGTGGATCATATAGCCTATCCATGAAATCCAGGTCCAAGAGTTGGCAGACCAGTGATCTTGGCTGTTTAGTACATTGCCTCTAACAAACATTAGCTTTTAAATTGTTGCTCATTTGATAGCTTAAACAACATCATATTTGTTGATATTTCTTTGATTTCTAAGGAAAACAAACTTCCATCAAATAATGTTCTTATTCAAGTATAAATGTTCAAATATGAATGTTCTTATTCTTTGCAAATTTGTCTGTCAAAGCCTTGCTATATTTCTAGTTGATTTATGACTTTCTGAACATTTATTAGCTAACTGGTTTCTTGCAAATATTTCCCTAGGTTTTAAAAAGTCTTATTACTAAAAATATTACAGAACTAAGTTTTCGATTTTTTAGAATTTTTTTTAATTTTAAAGGGAGTAGTAAATGAGAAACAAACAAAAATACAGACAGTAGCAGCATACCAGTATCATGAACATAAACAAATCAAAGCAAGAACATTCAAAGTGATTCAGGGTCTCAAGACAAAATAATACGAATCAACAGTCATCGTTACATTACATATCACTATCCTCAACTACATTGCTCAGATTACCAGATGTAGGGATGAAAGACCACTCAAACCACTAATGACAATAAGGAAATAATTCTTCGATAAAACATTAGAGATAATACAGAGTTTCACTAGACAAGATGGTAGGAGGTCACCATTGTAATTCCATTGCATATTGTTACCTTCAAATCAGTTGCTCAGACAACCAGGCACAAGCATGCAAAGTCAATCAGAACATAAAAAATTGTAAGCATTAACTGTTCATTTCAGTACACCATCAGACATCAGCAATACAGTCATCGCAGCTATTCATATATATATTTATATTTTGCCTGCCTTCTTTCTTCTTTCCCTCATCCCAGTTGTTCCTTCCTTTGAGCAGTTTCTTTCCCTTTCCCATCATCTATTGTATGTTTTCAGTTTTACCTAGTCTTTCAGGTTCCTACACCAAGGAGACAATATAATGTTTACCATCTGAGTCTGATTTATTTCACTTATGAGTATGGTCTCTAGTTGCATCCATTTACCTACAAAAGTCTCGAGTTTATCTTTTTTAATAGCTGAGTAATACTCCATTGTATAAAAATACCACAACTTTTTTATCCATTCCTCAGTGGATGGGCATTTGAGTTGTCTCCAAGATTTAGCTATAACAAATTGTCCTGCTATAAACATGGGTGTACATATATTGCTGTGGTATGATGTCTTTAATTCTTCTGGGAAAATACCCAGAGGGGGAATACCTGGGTTAAATGGGACTTCCAATCCTAGTTTTGTGAGGAATCTCCAAATTGATTTCCGCAGTTGTTTCACCAATCTACACTCCCACCAGCAGTGGAGTAGCGTTCCTTTGTCCCCACAGCCTCTGCAGTATTTGTTATTGGTTGATTTCTTGATTATAGCCATCCTTTCTGGGGTGAGATGGAATCTCAGTGTTCTTTTAATTTGCATTTCTTGAATGACTAATGATGTTGAACATTTTTCATGTATTTATTCACCATTAGTATTTCTTCATTAGAGAAGTGTGTATTCATTGCAGATGGCTATTTTTGGATTAGGTCTTTGAATTTGGGGGGGCCTGAATTTTTTTTAATTCTTTTGTGTCCTAGATAGAAGTTCTTTGTCTGAGGGGCAGTTGGCTAAAATTTTTTCCCAATTCGTGGGTGTTCTTTTTACTTTATTGGTGATTTCTTTAGATGTGCAAAAATTTTTCAAGATGAGATCCCAGTTGTTGATTCGTTGAAGTATTTCCCGTGCAGTTTGGTTTTTGTTCATGAACTCTCTGCATACCCCAATGCTGTCAAGATTTTTACCAACTTTCTCGTCCAATAAATTTAGTGTTTCTGTTTTAACAGTTAGATCTTTGATCCATTTTGACTTTAATTTAGTGCATGGTGAAAGACATGGGTCTGGTTTTAGTCTTCGGCATGTGGAAAGCCAGTTTTCCCAGCACCATTTATATAAAGAGGCCATCTTCCTTCCATTGAACTTGTTTGGCCCCTTTGTGAAAGATAAAGTGACTGAGTGTGTTTGTAGTTGTATCTGTATCTTCTAAACTGTTCCATTGATCTTCAGGTCTGTTTTTTGTGCCAGTACTATGCTGATTTTTGCTTTGTAATATAATTTTAAGTCAGGAATTGTGATGCTTCCTGCCTTTCCTTTGTTTCCCAAGATTGCTTTTGCTATTCTAGGCCTCTTCTGGTTCCAGAT